CTCTCTCTCTCTCTCTCTCTCTCTCCCCCTCCAAGGAATCATCTTTGCCGCGCGGAGAGAAGGTGGGCGGAGGTAGCCAGCGGAGGACAGGTGGGCAGAGGCGGACAGGAGGTCGGCGGAGGCCGAGGAGAGGTTGGCGCGCACAGCAGGATGTGCAGCGGATGGCGGGAGGAGGTGGACGCGAGGTGGGCAGAGGGCAAGGGGAGATGGGAGATCCCAATGGCGGAAGGGAGGTGGGCGGAGGCTGACAGGAGGTCGTCGAGGTGGAGAAGAGGTCGCCGGAGGCCGAGGGGAGGTGGGCGCGCACTGTTAAAAAAGAAAAAAAAAAGAAAAAAGGGGCAGGCAATGGGATGTCCAGTGTGACAGCGAATGTGCGAGCAGAGGAACGTAGCCCAGAGCAGAGGTGTGCAGAGGTGGAGGAAACGTGATGGATGCGGAGAGGAAAGAGAGGGAGGACATGGCGGGAGGAGGCGGACGGAGGTGGGCAGAGGCTGAGGGGAGATTGGCGATCCAATGGCGGGAGGGAGGTGGGCGGAGGCGGACAGAAGGTCGGCGCTGGCCGAGGTGAGTTGGCTTGCACCGTTTTTTCTGTTTTTCTCTTTAACGGCGGGGATGGCAGATGTGTGGGGAGCAGAACAGAGGCCAGAGCGGAGGTGAGCGAAGGTGGAGGAAAGGGCAGAGGGATGGCGGACGTGCAGGCAGCGGAACGGAGGCCAGAGCGGAGGCCAGAGCGGAGGTGAGCGAAGGTGGAGAAAAAGTGCGCGGAGGTGGAGAAGAGATGGCGGGAGGAGGCGGACGGGAGGAGCCGGACGGGAGGTGGCGGAGGCGGAAAGTATATGGTAGGAGGAGATGGCGGGAGGAAGCGAACGGGAGGTGACGAAGGTGGAGAGGAGATGGCAGAAGGAGGCGGACGGGAGGTGGGTGAAGGCTAAGGGGAGATTGGCGATCCCAATGGCGGGAGGGAGGTGCGCAGAGGCGGAGGCAGACAGAAGGTCGGCACTGGCCGAGGGGAGGTGGGCGCGCCCGTTTTTTCTTGGTTTTCTTTTTAAAGGCGGGCAGAGGGATGGCGGATGTGCAGGCAGCAGATCGGAGGCTAGAGCGGAGGTGAGCGAAGGTGGAGGAGAAGTGGACGGAGGCAGAGAGGAGATGGCGGGAGGAGGCGGACGGGAGGTGGTGAAGGCGGAGAGGAGATGGAGGGAGGAGATGGCAGGACGAGGCGGATGGGAGGATGCGGAGGTGGAGAGGAGATGACAGGAGGAGGCGGACTGGAGGTGGCAGAGGCGGAGAGAAGATGGTGGGAGGAGGCGGACGGGAGGTGGCGGAGGTGGAGGAGAAGTGGCGAAGGCGGGGGAGGAAAGAGAGAGAGGAGATAGCGGGGGGAGGTGGACGGGAGGTGGGCGGAGACGGAAGGGAGGTGGGCGGAGGTGGGCGGAGGTGGGCGAAGGCGGGCGGAGGCGGAACGGGAAATGGATGGAGGCCGAGCAAAGTGGGTGGAGGCCGAGGCTGGATGCGGTGGCGCAGGCCGCTCTCTCTCTCTCTCTCTCTCTCTCCTGTCTCTTATACACATATAAAAACTTAAAATCAAACCGAAACATGCCCCT